CGAGGAGGGGATGAAGGCAGGCATCGCCATCAAGCCCAGCACCTCCGTCGACGTCCTGTGGGACATTCTCGAGAGCAAGGAGGAGATTGAGCGACCGGATGTGAGTAGCCCCAAGCCCGACAGCCCCAATTTCACCCGAGAAAAAAAAAACAAACAGGCTAACGAATGTTTTCTTTCTCTTGTCCAAAAATAGATGGTTCTCGTCATGACCGTCGAGCCCGGTTTCGGCGGGCAAAAGTTCATGCCCTCAGAGCTGCCCAAGGTGAAGGCGCTCCGCGAGCGCTATCCAGACCTGAACATCGAGGTAGATGGCGGGCTGGGCCTGGGCACGATCGACCAGGCTGCGGATGCAGGCGCCAATGTCATCGTGGCTGGGTCGGCCGTGTTTGGAGCCAAGGATCCGGCAGATGTGATTGCGAAACTGAGAGAGGCTGTTGAGAAGCGGCGGCGTTAAAAGAAAAGCAAGAAAAAGAGTAAAAGAAAAAATAAGTCCGTTACGGACCTGATTATTTGCTTTAGATACCTATATGACGTTGTTTACCGTAGATAATGTTAAGTAATCGGTATGAATAAATTACCACCAGCGCATGCAGTGCAATCTAATACCATTCCGGGATAAGACAAGTATGTGGCTTGGAAATCATACTTCCTGTGCAAGACAATCAAAAGAATGGTATCACATTCAACTGGTCATTCACTTCGTAACAAACATGTAAGTAGCATGAGTATGTACGACCGTAATGAAGCAGGAACATGAACAGCCATAAACAGAAACAAGAACTGATCGTTGTGCTAATACCGCAAAACAAATGACGTTTGTCGTGCTGTGGTGTGCAAGAGAAGGGAAGACACCCTTAGTCTTTCACACTGATACCAGCCTGCTCTCCGGCCTTGGGATCCTGCTGCTGTGGGCTAGGACTAGTCTCCTCTCCTGAGACCTTGTGGCCATCCGTGTCTTTCTTCTCCTCGTCAGCCTTGCCTTCGCCTTCTTCTTCTTCTTCATCCTCGACCGTCTCCTCCTGCCCCTTGTTCGCTGAGCTTCGCAACTCTTGAAGATCCCCATCGGCGACTGGCTGCGAGACTGAGTCGCGCAGATCGCGAGCCACCTGGTCCTTTTCCTCCTTCGACGTCGCAGAGACAATAGACCCGCGATGATGTCCCACGAGACCCAGCGTCTCGGCGTTCTCGGCGCGGAAGTTGGCACTCGAGACGGCAGCGCACTCGCTTTCCAACGATGGTCTCTGGGGAGGAGCGACAATTTCCGGAGCGGGCGCGACTGATTGTCGGTGTTGTCCTTGGTCTGCATCTGAGACCGGCACCCCCGGCTGTCGGCCCTCGACATCCTTCGCATCCACTTTCCCGACGGGCTCGGTGGCTTTCGCTTCGGGCTTCGACGTGGGCGGCAGTTTGCCGTCTCCCTCCTTGCTGGGAGGCTTGGTTCCTAGTTTCGCACGGGCATTTTCCTTCGCCTTGGACGCGGCCTCCTCGCCGGCCTGCCGCAGTGCCAGCGCAATGTGGTCATCCTTCACGTCGTTCTTGCTGGGAGGAGTCTGGATCTGGATATGTGGCGAGCTACTCGTCGGCTTCGGGGTGGCTGGAGCTGGAGCTGGAGACTCTGCAGGGGTAGGAGGCTTGGCCGACGTGTTGGCAGGGGTGTTCACGCGGGGTTCGGGGAGAGCATCTAGGTGCGTGATGGACTCGATTTGCTGCTTGAGTTCGCCGTATTCGTTCCACTCTTCGATTTGTTCCAAGTCCTATCGTAATCAATCAAATCAGTCTTCGACAAAGATGTACAGGCCCCATATGACAGGGGAGATGTGGTGATTGCCGGCAGACAAACTTACGCCTACGACATTGCCGTATTTGACCAGACCCGGAAGCTTTCTGCCTTTGGATCGGCGGCCCCATAGCATGCGGGCTTTCTCGTCCGTGGCCACATCAATCGCGCGGAAAGGGATCTTGTTCGCTTTCAGGATGGTCTCGAGTCGCGAGGTGGCAGTGATAATGTGGGAGGAGCCTGCGGTGAGGGAGGTGTAGAGGTACAGGGTGCCATCGGCCGTGGATTGGGGCGCAGAGTCCGCCATGTTGGCGATGTGGCTGCTGCGATGAAGAGGGGGAGGAAGGTTGTTATGAGATTTCTACAAGGACAGACGTGGACTGCGGCCTCCACAAGAAAGAAAACCAGCGATCGACCCTGAAGCTGGCCTGAAATAATAGTTGGAAGTTGGGACTGTGAATGTGAATGTGCGACCGTGACTGTTTTGAACAAGCAATATGAGCCAAATCACGTGTGTGGAGAATTCCCCCTCCCTGATGATCTGGATGGGCACCCCAGGGAGCTCCAGAGCTCAGTCTGGTTCAAAATCTTTAAGTTTTCAATCTTAAAAAAAATGAGAGGAATGTCTGTAGTATAGACTATTTAAATTAAAACAGAAAGGGAAACTATTTTGAGGATAATTGTTGTGGTCGCTGTTGCGGTGGCTCTCTGTGTCGCGGGGTTTCTTGGTTGTCTGTGGAGGCAAGCTGGCTGACGTCAATGTACCAGCAAACCACACCGCTGACCAGGTAGATGGCATTAACTGATGCTTCACGATGCTCATCATTCTTATTATCTTCTCTCTCATCCAGACATGCAGAATAATATATTAATTTATTCCATCTGAAATTTATCAGAATGACAGACACGCGGGCATTTTGTGTGGTTTCTGTAATATATAAACAAGCAGTTGTCTGCCAAGCTGTCTTGCCTTGGAACCTAACCTTGTTACATAACTGCCCAAGCTTACTTTGGTACAGAGTATCATGATAATGGTAAAGAATACGGCAGAGAATGACAGAAGACAGCCTGGAAAGAAGACAGGAATAAAAGACAAATAAGTCCAAACTAAAATCATATAGTGAAAATGAGAAATTGCTCCTTGGGATTAACTAAAACTAATCTCAAGTCGTGGCAATGGCAGCTACACCTGCAAGAACAACAAATAGCCACTAGCTTCGACTGTGTCCAGCTGGTGATACCACGGTTCAGATCACTGTCCATCAATGGATGGGAGCTGCGACCAGGATATAGTGACACAGGCTCGAAGAACGGTGTGCTGTCACTGCCGAGCCGCATACCTGCTTATCAGTGAACTCACCATTATACCTGATTGACTTATGGAAAGCAAGGATTCATCTGGATGAAGACAGCCGCTGGAAAGCGTGGATGTGATAGGCGGGATCGGAGCCAATGCGGTGTGCCAGATATAAGCAGCCTCACTGCCTGGCGGCCTGGGTGCCTGACGCTTCGGCAGCCTGAATCTGCAGGCATCCCGGTCTGCTGGCAGCAAGAGCAACAGCCATGTACTCAGCATCCCCTCGCTTTTGACGGTTGCACAGGGGCTGTGCTGGAATTCGGGCGGCATTAGCGGCTTTATAACGAGGTCGTTTGGATGCCATCACACCTTGCAGATTATGGTGTCAATGGTACAGTGGTCATGATTGAGGTGATCTCTCTCCTAGTCTCGTTCAGACATGGCTACAATGATCCGATTGTGTTGGTGAGTCAGCAAGTTCGAAACGTGTACAATTTCCCGGTAGAGGCAGATTGCCCAGGGTGGCTGTCCTTGCAGGAGTTCCCGACGAGTTCCTGACCCTGTCATGGCTCGTTTCAAGCGATTGCCAGGTGTTTCTCGACTTGTTGTCCGGAGCACTCCGTAACTTGTGAGCAGTCTGATGTCAGCAGCGAAGACTAACTATGACCTCCGGTGACTCCCGCAAGGTCCCTCCTGCTCGTAGTCCGTCCGTCTAGGCAAACTACTGCGAATCTATACGAGTAGTCCATCATTCAATAGATTGTGGATCAGTCTCCAAAAAAGCCACTGGCGCAAAGTTGAGGAGCAAAGATCCACTTGCCGTTGCAGTTACCACATTTTCGGATTGGCATTCCTTGGAACCGACCAGAGAGGTACCAAGGATATGACGGCAATGACTGCGAGGAAACGGGTTTTGCAGGGTCGTAACAGCTTTTGACTCTATGAAAGTAATTATGGAGGTAAATGTGTCCATTTCTTTCGAGTTGGAGGCGACAACGTCAACGGTGGACGTTGTTTCAGGTTGAGCACTTGAACGCAGTCGGAAGGCATCATAGTTCGCTCCCGTCCCCTCTCTAAGCAATAATCATTGAATCATCGCGCAAAGCACCACCAAACGCATACCCTCTGACCATGACGATCCAGGTGACTTGGTGAGTTGAGGAATCGGGATCCAGACCACGAAGATCATTTTTCACCGACGCAAATCGCGGAGACCGCGCTGGCAACTAGTTCCTTACCCCGTGGTCTCAGGATCGGACATCTCACCGCTCGGCCGCCCAGTTCCGTGACTCACGGAGATCTGCCTCCAGCGCAACGCCCAGAAACTGCCCTCGCCATCCTCCACAGACCAGACAGTGGATACGGAGGGATTCGACGGTTCCTGAATAGCCTGGCCATGTGGACACGGTGCAGTGACGGTCTACAGTCTCTCGAGGAGGAAAAACAGCGACGGACCGCCACCAGAATATGACGTGCGTGAGTTCCTCCATCATCCGGAAGACGGTCGGACCGGGCCCACGATGGGATCATCGTATGGCATTGGCATTATTCTTAGTACAGCGCCGGCCAAGGGACTGCCCCAGCGCATCGCTGTGATTTGCAGGAGAGGAGATCGAAACCGATCTGGTCGCGCAACGCAGGTCTTAGTCCGCGTAGGCAGCGATGCTCCGTCATGGCAGGACACACGGCCAGCCAAACAGCAATGGATCAGTGACCAAGTTCGTGCATAAGCTGGAGGCGAGCGTGGATTGGTTTCTTACGTGGGCAGCGCTGCTGATACGCCCGGCCGCGATGGGGCAGGCGAGACCGCAGAGTGCCAGACAGCTGCTTGGCAGGGAGCCGACTCGTGTTGGCAAGGGCGAGGGCTGACTCGTGCAACAACGTGGCCGCCAGGGACTCGAGAGGTGCCAGGCAGCATGCCCCAGGACTCAGGCCTGCTGGAGGACCCCCGTCGGGAGGGCTCTGGGGGGGGTCAGCACGCCGGCGACGGCGCCCTCGGGGGCTGCTTCGGGGGAGGGAGGGTCGCGGGCACGCCTAAGTTTAGTGGGCACTCTCGTTAACAGCGGCTGCGTCTGCTAACTGCTAAGGGCTGCTAGCGGGGTGCGCAGCGCCGCCTCTCGCTGGCCCGGCTTCTGCCAGCACGATCCGTTTCGCTGCCTCACTTCTCTGCTGCACGACCCAGCGGCCCTCCGTCGAACTCTCTCCATCCACGCGCCCTCATCGTCCCGGTCCCTCGCTGGTTGGCCTGCAGGGTCTACCCTACGCTGAGCCACCTAGCTGTTTCGGGCCTCTTCGACTCTGCTGCGCCTGACCGGTCTTCCGAGCCACGACGGAAGCGCTCGTCTAGAACATCCCCTCTCCCCCAGTGTGTTCTCCGCTCTGTAGGACTGAGTCTGACCGTGGTGTCCGAGACGGGCCCTGACCAACTGCGATGGATCGCCAGACACGTGAGGTTGAAGCTTCCCCTGCTCCTGTTCTTGGCCGTTTTCTTATTATCAGCGATCCCCAGGTTCTTCGATCGTTATCTTCTTCACTCCAGTCTTCCCATCACATCCAGAGCGACATCTACTATCCTCGTGAACCTTGTCTTCCTTATACCGACCATCACCACACTCATCCGTTCGACCTGCATCCTCATCATACACCCGTCTCCCATTGATCCCTTCTGTTGTCTGTGAGTCGGGACCTTCTCGCTGTGCTCTGACTCATACTGACCAGAGCTCCCAGAGAGATCCCACCTTGTGCTCATCCCCGTGTCTGATACTACTGATCCTAGCTCCTGCCACGTACCTTACGAGGGAGAGGAACTTCCCGGCATCATGGCTGTCTCTACGGCCGATGACGAGTTATTTACGAGGGCCATTTCCAGCTTCCGGGACTACTTTTTGGTTCAGCATGCCCACCTCCCAGAGTCGGAGCGAAATCAACTTTGGACCCAACGACTCAGTCAGTTCATGACACCGTCCTCCACCCGCGACGGCTCCTCCACGGCCCCAGGCGACACAACTGGCACTACCGCCACCACTATGACTACTACTACTACTACCGCCAACAGCGGATCCTCCTCGGACAATTTGGGTAAACGGACTCGACAGGATGTTCCCCGGACGATTCCTGGAGCACCCTCGCCGGCGAAACGACGTGCCACCGTATGTCTCCTTGGCCCTTCACGTGCGCCTTCTTTTCTGTCCATCCGTTTCCTGCCCGCTCCTGCTCCTCGCCCCTTCTCTTTCCCCATCGCTTCCCTGGATTGACAGTTGGCAGACTCCGGAGTCCGACGGTGCCGGCACCTTCAAGTGGACTGGTACACCATCGTCCCTTGACTCCTCCACGGCTGTGGCCTCCCAGATGACCCGGCGGCAGTCATCCAGCTCTCGGACTGGCATCCATTCCACGCTCAGCGGCCACAATGGATCTTTCTCTCGATCGGCCCCCATGGCCCGCTCGCAGAGCCTGCAGAATCCGGCCTCTCACCGGCAACAGTTGGCGGCGGCGGCGGCGGCGGCAACATCACTGCGACGGCAGTCATCTGGGCCCACCTCGTACCAGCTTCGCCTCGACGACGTCAACGAATACTCGCCGTCCGAGTACACGCAGCAGTGTTTGGATGACTTTCCCAATCAAGGTACCTCTGCCTTTGCATTGTCATATTCCCCCGACGAGTCCACGTCGAGGGGGTTACATGACAACAAACAGGAGCAACAGCAGTTGCAGATGCAGATGCAGATGCAGATGCCGCAACCACCAGCACAGCCGGCCGATTTGACGGGGCTGTCAGGTTCCCCAGTGTCCGACCAACTGACGGTCACGACGGCGGCAGCAACCGAAATGAGTCGTAGTACGACGACGGATTCAATCTGTGGAGGATTGGGAATGGTCCGATTCGACTCGACGGGGTCGAACCTGGAGCACAATTTCGATGTTCCATTTTCATCCCCTGACTTTCTGCAGCAACCGTCCGCCCAGGACGTTTCTTTTCAATCTTCCTCCTATCTTTCCCCTCTTGATCGGAACATCGATCAGCTTCCGTTCTCCTTATCTGACGTCGCATCTGTTTCCTTTTCTAGCTCCGCCCCAACCCCCGGCTCTTTTATGCCCCGTGCCAATTCTGTTTCGCTGTCACCTTCATCTGCCGGTGTGGAGATGAAGCATTCTCTGTCTACAGGGAGCACCAGCTCGTCTGTGTCTCTGTCACAGCAGTCGAGGACTGCACGCCGAACTTCAGAACAAGTGGTGCAGGGGGCCCGGCCCATTGCACCGAAGCTGCCTTCTAACAAGTCTAGCTCATCATCATCATCATCATCCACTGCTAAGTCCAGTGATCAGCAACATCAGATGATTCGGATCTCGTCGGAGAATGGCACCTCGAAAGAGGTGGCGGCCATTCCCAAGGCGAACTTCCAGCGTCCGCCGCGTCAGAAGACGTACTGCCACCTGTGTCAGGACCAGCCCGAGGGCTTCCATGGCGAGCATGAGCTGCGCCGGCACATCGAGCGGGTGCACTCGGTGGTGCGCAAGGTCTGGGTCTGTGTCGATATCTCGCCGGACAAGACCTTCCTGGCCAACTGCAAGGCCTGCCGCAGCGGCAAGCGCTACGGGGCGAACTACAACGCGGCCGCGCACTTGCGTCGGACGCATTTCAACCCGTGCCAGCGTGGACGCGGCGGACGGGGCAAGGATAGCGAGAAGCGGGGCGGCAAAGGCGGCGGGAATCACCCGCCGATGGAGGTACTGAAGCACTGGATGGAGCAGAAGGAAGAGCTCGTGCTGGAAAATGCGCAGTACCTTCTCGACGAGGAGATTCCCGCCGATGTGGCCGCTGCCGCTATTCAGCAGGCACAAGCGCAGGCCCAAGCGCAGGCTCAGGCGCAGGCTCAGGCGCAGGCTCAAGCTCAGGCTCAGGCACAGGTGCAGGCGCAGACGCAGGCGCAGACGCAGGCGCCTTCTGGGTCGCCTGCGAAGGGACCTGAGATGAACCCAGAGATGGGACTGGAGTATGACGCTTCGACGTCGCTGGAGTGGGATCCGGCTATGGCTGGTCAAGGGTATGAAGCATTCCCGCAACCGCTGACGGACCTGAATAATCCGTCATTTGACCCGTCTTTCTGCCTCGAGTCGCAGCAGCTGTCTGCGGAGGCAGATCCGTACCTTGTGAAAACTGCTGTATAACTGACTGAACTGACTGATAACTGACTGTAAACTGACCTGCTTTCTGGATGGGTTTTTTTTTCTTGTCCTTTTATCCTTGTTCATTTTTGACCTGTTCATATTTGTTTCTTGCTTGTGTTCTGCGAGGGTGATGAGTATTGAGCATGGTGTTCTGCACTGTCTTCCCTGGATGGAGGCAGATGATTCAGCATGTGTTACGATTAATGTGTGATGGTCAGATGTGTATCTTTATTTCTTTTATTTTTGCTTTTCTCTTCTTCTTTCTTCTCTCGTATTTTTGTCGTGTTCTTGATTATCTTGTGTTATTTGTAATATTTTCCCCCTTTTCCCTTTTGTTCGCTGTATATACTTATTTCTAGTCTGTTCTCTGACCTAATGAAGAATGAGTCACAGCCACAATCTGCTCCCTCGTACAAGAACCTTGTCGACTTACGTAGGTGGCCGCGTCTGACGTGGCTGCGTGGCTGGAGCATAGTCGAGGCATCACGTGCATTGGCTGTGCCACAGAGGGCGATGCACGGGACCGTGCACCGTTCATACTCGAGCTGGCTGGTGGAAACTGTAGAGCTGCTGCCAACGTCTCCACCAGGCGACACGCTACTGAAAGTTTGCTGGCTGGCATCTGGCGGTCTGCGGTCAAGAGTCCCAACGGCCAGGGATGCTGCCCCTGCAGCTGCAGATGGACTGTACAGCTGACGAGAGGAGGATTGCGACTCTGCCGGCTGTGCCGTAATTCGTAGCTGGGGTGCCAGCGGGAGACAAACGGGCATCCTAGATCAACAACGGTACCAACAGAGCAGTCGAACCACCGGCTAGAGGCTAGACTCGCAGTAGGGCTGGCCAGCTGGGGCCGGCTGGGCTGGCTTGGCATGGCCGGGCTGGCGCGACGCTCTCTTCCTGCGGGAGCGATTCGCCAGGCTGGCAGTGCTCCTTTACGGAGTAACTGAGGCAGGCTGTTCCTCGCCTGCGCCTTCGCCAGGAATCGCCGGACGAGCGATTTGAAACGCGCGCGATACAAAAGGCGCCTCATCTCCGGATCATCATCGTCGCTGCTGGCCGTGATTCTTTTGATTGCCATCGTCAAGATTGGCAACTAACTCGGACCCGCGTGGCCTATCGTCCCACTTGGCTGCTGCCCGTGACTGGCCCATCCTGCGCTGCTCCTGCTCTAGCCTGCCTCCGCTTCCCCGTGTCTCACACCTCTCTTCCCTTTTCACTCTCCGCTCCGCCATACGACGTCAGCTGTCGCCCACAGTCGATTTTCTGTCTTCTGCTATCCCGTCTCTTGCTGTCTTCCATCGCAGCTTGACCCGTCTTTTTCAGGTGCGTCTGTCTGTCCTTGTTTTCGTGCTTGTCTCGGCGGACGGCGAACTGATAATATCCTCGCGCAGACTACGAGCGACCGCCATCATGTCGAACCAGGCCTACTACAACCAGCAGCCTCAGTATCCTCCTCAGACGTATGTCCCCGACTCGTCTCCCTGGCATGCAATCCCTGTCGCTGCTCTCGTGCGATGCGCAAGGATGAAGCGACGGCCACGGACGATGCCCGAGCCAGCGCATTGTGCGATGCAGCCAGTGCGCTTTCGAAATTTTTCTTTCGAAATTTTGTCTTTTGGGTGACATGTTGCTGAGAGATTGAACGCGTAGATACGGGCCTCCGCCGCCCCAGGGCTACCCCCCGCAGCAGGGTTATGCTCCTCCACAGGGTTACCCTCCGGTATGTCGTGTTATTCCTATGACTCTGAACCCCTCTGACTAGTTAACTGGCTAACCAGCAGCAGATGCAATACCAGCAGCCTCCGCCTCCCCAGCCGAAACAGAGCACGGACCGAGGATGCCTGGGTGCCTGGTTTGTCTCCATTGATGGACTGTCGTATGCGATCGCCGCTGACGAGTGTTACCAGCCTTGCGACCATGTGCTGCTGCTTCCTCTGTGAGGAGACGTGCGAGTGCTGCCTCGACTGCGTCGAGTGTCTGGAATTCTGCTAGAGCCCGGTAGGCAGAGTGCGGGGTGGATGTAAACTGACACTGATACGACCGTTTTTCGTCTTGCCATCGTTAATCGTTTCGCTATTGATATCAGGATGGCCGGGCAGGTGTAAAATTGAGTTTTACATGGCCGTCTGGTTGATTCCCCGAGCTTCTTCTTTCTTGCTGGCTTCCACTAGGCCGTCTTGGTTGGGTTTGTCATGTATGCAATCAGAAGATATCTATGTGCAGGAATAAAGAGGTCTGAGGTCCGAACTATTCAATGGTCAATCTGCTTGGTAGACACCTAGGTACAAACGTTTACATCCAATCACTGACACCTACCCACTTCGATCTTATCATGTCCGTGGATACCAGACTTTCCCGTGGCAGACGGTGGCGCTCGTCGCCTCGCCTTACATAACTTGCCATGATGACGACATGGTTACGGCCGTCCTCGAGCGTAGGTTACTACTCTAGCTGATTACATTTTCTACCTCCCTATACTATAGCTATACCTGTACCTATACCCTGTATCTGTACCTATCTATCTGTCTATATTACCTCCTTGAAAAAAAGGGAAACGAAGTCCTCCAACATCAACACCAACAATACAATTTATTTATTTACAGGAGGACCATACCATACCGAAAGCGAACGAGAGAAAAAAAAAACCTTTCTCTCAACCTCAACCCGTCAACCTGTTCACTTCAACCAGTTCAGTTTAAACCACATCGACGACGAACGACGACAACACAACATGCCCAACAAACCCAACAAAGCCCTCAGAGACCAGTCCCCACTCACCCAAACACCAGGAGACTTCAACCAACCCCGCGAAGACACCTTCCGCAACGTCCTGCACGAAGACTCCTCGGACGAAGACCGCTCGCGCGACGACCCGCACACGCGCGTGGAGCACAAAGGCGACGGTGGGAGAAAGAACAGAACCCGCTCTTTTCGCGCGCAGCAGGGCCAGGCGAGACGGAAACCGAGCACGTCCCGTTCGCGGAGTAGGGATAGGGGTAGGAGTTCGGGGTCGGCGAGCAAGAGGTTGGCGAGTTCGAGGTCCAAGGAGAAGAAGGGGAGGAGGGCGTCGAGTGGGAAGCCGGAGTATCGGTTTGCTTATTACTAGATCAAGGATCAAGGTCTGCTGTGGTTGTTGTGTTGAGGAGTAAGGGGGTATATATATATATATCTGATGATGATGGCGATAGATAGTCCCTCCCTCCTCTAGCTGGAAGGTTTGTGTGGGTTGGATGGATGGGTATTATCTGCTGGATAGACATACATACATACATACATATGGACGTACTGTACTGTACATACAGAAGACGGATCTAGGAGGGAGGTAAATCAACCCCTGTTTGTGTCCATGATACATGCTATATACTGTATAAATAAGGTTGTTGTTGCTCCTTGTTAGTTTGTTAGGATAGTTGGGCACCAATCTGGGAATATATATAGAATTCATAGAATTCGTTTCATGTGCTCTATTATATATATATCAGAGTATAAAGGTCATGATCAGTCGAGGTGGATTTATATATAAATATAGAATTATAAATACTTCGAAAAGAGACAAATAAAAAAAGGTAATATACAGTCTTCCAAGTCATTCATTCATGGAATTGAAAGCATGGAATTTAGAGATGAATATAGATAGATAGATAAGATACTGAATTACACTAGATACAAATTGCAAACAAAAAAGTAATTGAGAGGGATGGTGGGGAGAGAGAAAAAGAGAGACTGATAGTAATAATCCCCTGGTTTCAAACAAACAAATTAATTAATTAATTAATAATTAATTACTGTGTATTACCCCTTTTTGAAGGGTTCAAAAAAAATAAATAAACATAAATTGTGACTTTTTGTTAGACTGCGAACTAGCTACTTTCTTTTATTTTTGGTTTGCTTTTATTAGATATAACCCTTAGAGGACTCGCTTTGCTGAACTAGAATGACTTAAAAAAAAAACTACTCCGTGCCATGCCAAGGACTTTTCTTCTATATCTTAGGCGTGACATGGCATGTGATATGGCTCTCAACCTAATTATCTAATTAAATATATTGTCAAGTCTTACTTAGGGGGTAGGATTCTCACCTGTGATTTGAATCAAAAAGAAAGTCAGCCGGTATCCATTCCATTCCATTCCACTCAAAAAAAAGGCTGACTCGAGGAGATGGAAGATTATTGTTTCTATTCTAGAGTTTTTCTTTCTTTTTCTTTTTCTTTTTTTTTTATAATTATGCGTATAAAATCAGTCCTGTTTCCTCATCATCATCATCCTCTTCCCGTTCTTTCCTATTAATAGTAATAATAACAATCGTCGTCCTTCTTCATGTCATTACTACAAGTTCTATAGTCAGTCATCTGACTCATCTCAGACCGTTTGCGCAGACCTCCTCATCTACTCATCTACTCAATGCCATATCCATTAACTAAGGGAGATGCTTGACCAAGGTCAATCAAGAGAGCCCCATAAACTTATCCTATGTACTGTATTTATGTACAGGTACATGACATGCATGGATGATCCTTAACACGTGATTATTGCCATACACTCACTAATGGATCGATCATCTATGTGACCCTGACCCTTTATTAGTAAGGATGGAGTGACCATGCAGTCCAAGTAACTACTCTGTATGGACCATTTGTACCAATACCGTCCAACAATGGATCGATCTACACTTGAGTTCTTGAGGCGGATTTTCTTTCTAACTATATATCTATCTAGAAGTCTATTTATTGTTTGCATTGCATAAATGATACTATTTACGAAAACAGGGACAATATGCAAAAAAAAAAAACACTGAAAATTAGTTTTAATTATATATCCTGCTGATGTTCCTGATCAGGATATCTGGATAGATATTAGTAAACCATACTAGCGATCAATTTATTTCATTTCATGATCTACGATTTAGGATACATATTTGGTAAACCCATATTCCTAAAGATTATCTTCTCCCCTGTCGCGTGCAGCGATATCGACGGCCATACCTTAAGGAGTGTTTACGTAGTCGGAGCCAGCGGGCGGTTGAGTGGTAACCACCTAGGGTACTGGGTGAGCTACAAAAAGTTGTCTGGCTTAAGATTGGGGCCAAGCCCACAACTATAACATAACAAGAAGCTTAATACAGGTTTATTAAATCCTGCAACTAGTTTATATCAACCATAGTAGAAGAGGGGGGTTCTGGTTTAGTGTGCACCCAGTATACAGAAAAGGTAGGGGAAGTTATAAAGCATAGTTCTTATTTATACTATGTCCCTTTGTTGTATACTCTATACCTAGTAATATAGATAGGACCTTCTAGAGGGTTTTGTTTGGGGGGTGTTTTTCCCCTAGGGGCTATTTTATATATTAGTGATAGTTATATACAGTACTAGCTTAGAACAGGCATAAAATTATGGTCTTACTTGCCCTGTATATATATAATAACAGCACTACCCATGCTAGACTTCTGTGTCCTGGGCATGTCTCACTGCTCTCAAGATACATCTGGACAATAAACTTGGATACTTACCTACTTGTTTATGTAGTCGGATCCTCCACCCTAACAATTCACGTGTGGAAGGTCTATCTCTGTGGACCGTCCTTTTTATCACACTAAGGAATGTCTGTGACTACCTAGGTAGTTTATTGATATTTATTTATTGAGATCTTCCAACTAAGCTCTTTGATCTGATCCAAGATGTTTAATAATAATATAGTATTATAATTAGACTATTAGAGTAAACGTTCCTGTGAAGCAGAAATGAAAGTGTTACAACCTAGAAATATTTGATCGAAGGTGATCGATCTATGATTGCATCATCTTCATCATCATCTTCATCATCATCATCATCATCTTCTTCTTCTTCTTCTTCTTCTTCTCTCTTCTCTCTCTCTCTCTCTCTCTCTTTTTTTTTTCACCCCCTCTTATCGATGGAATGATTTATAAGTCTAGTATCTAGCAGTGGCCAGGTACATCGTACATGTAATGGAAATCTAGCTGCTGTTTCGTTCCCTTTTATTCAGAATCTATCTATCTATCTATCTATCTATCTCACTGCTTTGACTGACTGAACTTACTATAAGCTATCTCCAGCTAGTCAGAGCTAGTCAGACTGTGTGAGCTGGTTGGTATGCAAGGTATGTAACTAACTTAACTCCCTTTAAGTAACCCAAACGGTAAAAAGTAAATAAAAAGCGTATCAGTCAATATCTGTCACCACACGCAATAATGTAATGTACAGTACTGTACTGTGTATACCTCTGCCACTTGGCATAAATCTCGTCCAGAGCACTCAGTCAGTCAGTCAGTCAGTCACCTTGCCTGCCTGCCATCTTGAAAGAAAGAAAGAAAAGGAGGTGAATTTGCAGTTCTCCTTCCTCACTTGCGATACGTACATACATCTCTATCGCTGGGGCCCCCGATTTTGGCTCGTTGCCCTCCTTCTGGGACTGGGACTGGGACTGGGACTGGGGCCGTCTAGTTGGAGTTCAGCAATCCGTTCCTGGCTGGACTTTGATGCTAACTAACAGTGGGGAGGGTTGGATTTATCTATGACTTACTGACTGAGTGAGTGAGTTCTTGGGATAAGATGATATTCTGGCTGGGGTATTCAGTTACACTTGGAAATTAAATTTCTTGGAAATAGAATTTGGTCTAATATGGATATTTCAGTCATCAACCGTAAGTCATGCTTCCCTCCCATTGTGGATTAGATACTCCGTTGATACATTATTTCAAAATAATTCACTAAATCTATAGTCGAGTATTTATAGTCGTGTATACATATTCGCATCTAGGTACTACTGCTGGGTCACCCCCGGCACCGCCTGCTCCCACAAAGGCCATTTCTCTAGAGTCGCCGCATCGCCCGTCAGCGTGAACGACACCACTACCGATCGCTCATTGTTCAGTGCCAATTCGTAGTTGCCCGGGAAGACCACCTTGTTGCCGTTCTCGTCCGCCCGCGCAATCGCGCCCAACGGCACCGGGATCGTCAACTTGGCAGTCTCGCCCGGCTGGATCGTCGGCAGCCGGTCGAACCCGACGAGCCATTTGTTCGGGTACGGCTTGGGCCCGGCTGTCGTGTTCGCGAACAACAGACCCGTGTACGGCGATGGCGTGTGGCCGACGTTCTTCACGTCCACAGTCACGTTGATGAACGGAACCTGCTCGATGTACTCGTATCCCGGATGAGGGGTGGAGAAAAGGTCCAGAATGTCGAAAGTCGACGTCTTGTTCGTGCCCGCCGCAGCCGACTCCTGGAACTCCGTGTAGAACAGACCGTGGCCGAACTCATACACGGGCGTGCCCGTGTACCAGATGTATGTCTGTCCCGGGTTGCTGCCGTTCGGACGCAGGTTCATGTCGTTGGCCGGGAACTGCGTCGCATACTCGGCCGGGTACTGCGTGCTCACCAGACGACCGGCCGGCGCACGCTTGCCCGTAAGGATGTCAAACAGGGCCGCACCACCCGACTGTCCGGGATAGCCACCCCACACCAGAGCGTTGACATTCTTGTTGGCCTTGAGTGACGACGAATCCACCTGGCCACCGCCCATCTGCAGGACGACCAAGGGCTTGCCCACCTGGCTGAGCTGCTCGATCAGATCCAGCTGGTTCCCCGGCCACTTGAGATCCGTGCGGTCCTGTCCCTCTGCCTCGATCGTGTTGTCAATACCACCGGCGTAGATGATCACGTCCGACTTCTTCGCCGCCGCGATGGCTTCCGCGAACCACTGGGTAGAATCGGTCGAGATGTTGGTACCGAATGCATAGTTGACCGTGAACCCACTGGCCTTGGCGGCTTCCAGCGGACTGATCAGATACGGTGGCGTTCCATAGTAGTTACCCTGCATCTGCACCGTGGCATTGGCCCAAGGACCGATGAGCGCAATGCTGCGGACCTTCTTGGACAGCGGCAGCGTTCCGTCGTTCTTGAGCAGGGTGATACCTTCCACCGCGGCCTCGTACGAGATGTTCCAGGCGTCCGTAGTCACGACGTCGTTCCAGTTGAGGTTGCGGTACTCGCTGTTGTTGCCGTCAAAGTAGCCGAGACGCACCAGGTTTGAGTAGAGACGGGTGAGGGATTTCTCGATATCACCGCGGGAGACGTATCCTTCTACGAAGGACTCATTCAGGTGCCACGGCAAGGTCTGACCACAGTCGATATCGGTACCTGCTAGGAGCGAGTCCGCAGCGGCTCCCGACTGGTTAAGGGCGTAACCGTGTGGGTTGAAGACGTTGTAGACGGCGTCGCAATCCGACGAGACGTACCCGTCGTCAACGAAGTCAAAGTTTTCTCGGAGAAGCGTCTGGAGGAAGAAGGAGTTGGCACAGCTTGGGACTCCATTCACTGCATTGTAGGAGCACATGATGCTGCGCGTCTTGGCGTATCGAGCAGACGCCAGGAACTGAGGGGTGTAGTACTCGGAGAGATCCTGCTGCGTGATGATAGCATTGAACCCCAGCCGAGAGACGTTGCCCCAGTTCTCCAGATCATAGCCGGCGAAGTGCTTCGCCGTCGCGACGATCTTGACATGCTCTGGGTCGACACCGCCCTGCAGGCCTGTGATGTACTCGTACGCATAGGTGGAACTCAAGAAGAACGCATCCTCACCAGGCGTCTCCTGTCCACGGCCCCAGAGGGGACTGCGGAAGCCATTGATGTTGGGCGCATAGCTGTCAAGGCCGTAACGGCCGGCGTTGTTGAAGGCACGGGCTTGCGTTGCAATGATGGAGGCAATCTGGTTGATGAGGGTCCGGTTGAAGGACGCCATCGACAGGATGGGCATGGGGAAGGACGTGGCCCAGCTGTATTCGCCCGAATGGGAGAAATTGGCGCGGTCCAGTCCGTGCAGAGCTTCATTCCACACCTGATACTGGGGCAGACCCAAACGGGGCACGCCAGGAGCGGTGTTCTGGGTGTTGTTAATCAGCTCTTCGAGGGTAAAGAGCGAGATGAGGGCCTCAGCTCGGGCCCAGGGATCGGCCGATTTGTTGCACACCAGGTTCGTGCTGAGCGGGCCATTCTCACAGTCGGGGAAGGACAGGTCGATGGTCGCGACGGTCCGGGGAAACAGGTCCGGCTGAGACTGCGACGAGTAATTGGCATAGGTTTGGTTATCCTGTGCCCATGTCGCGGTGGGCAGGAGCGCCGCCACTGCGGTGAGAATCGCCGCGCGAGTCACCATGGTCGATTTGGAGCTCGCCCAGGAGATGGTTGACACCGAATCGATGCAGGAAACCCCCGTGAGCTCTGACCATGGCTGCAGTATTTATAATACATCCGTCTGTCTCTGGTCGGTCTCCCAATTGCCGTGCTCTGCATCCCCGAGCTATCAGCAAACCCCACAGCTCCGCAGCCATGCGAGCCCGAATACAGAAGCTCGAATGGGCGATCCCCCGTAGAGGGATTCTAGAGCTCGAGCACCTATCAACCGGCAGGTTTTCCGACTTCCTCTTTCAGCATTTAGCCTGAATTCGTCCCGGCAACCCGTTCATGTTGCTCACTGCAGGTGAGAACAGTGACGTTATTCCGGGCTGCAATTTTATTAGCTCGGCCATGGCGAAGTCGGGAAGGCGATGATGGAAAGATGCCGTCGGCCTCTATCCGACTGGCCGGGTATTATCATTATTCGCTTTGACGGTCCATTATCGACAACGTCCACTCCCGATGGCATTAAGCCGTTGCGTCACTGTCGAATGTCGGCTCGGGGAAATAATGTGGGGAAACGGGACAGCGGCATGCAGGTTGCGGACGGTGAGAGCTCTGTGCTTTGCTAGGGAGATTAGTTGAATGTGGTTATAGTTTTAACCGGGAAAAGCGCCAACATGAAGCTTCTTCAAGCTGCTGTCACGGTCCATCTCAGTCGTTACTGTGCCTAATGAAGCCGTGCGAGCAGCCTCGTGGCAGCGAGGACCATTCTGCAGATGACAATATCGCCATCCGCACGGGTCAGCCTCGATGTGGAGAGCTGGAGAAAGCTGGAGAATGTCGGGGATACTCCGGGGAGGAGCCGTGCGTTGCCATGGGCAATTCAGGCTAAATCAAGCTTTTCGGCACGCGGCACGATCTAGCGCCCAGGCCAACTGCCATGCCTCGGATCGGCGATCGAGAGAACGTGGAAGCTGTCTTGTCACTCTTGGATGATCTCATCTGATTTATTGTCATTATTATTATTATTGTTGCTCGAGTGCCGCACAGCAGCAATTCAGCCGATAGAGAGATACTGTTTCAGGAAGGAGTATGAGGGTGGCTGGCATGTGGCTCAACCAGTTTCTTTCCCCCCCACTCTGAGCAAGAACAGCCTCAGCATTGAGCTGAATGCAATGGAATGCTCAGTGTTGCGGAAAGAAAGTAAAGGGTTGATCGAATCGATGAGGAAAGAATGTGCACCTGATCAGCAGATCCAAGTGCAACGAGGAAGAGGCTTCGTTGTGAACTGTTGATGGAGATCTGGCAGGGAGAAGGAGTGCTTTAATAGTGCTCGAGTGACTGCTGGACATGTGACCAAAGACCGATCTGGAATGCTGCCATCTAGACAAGACGACCATTAAGACATGCCTCAGCTCATGTCCATTATTTACTCCGCGGCGCAATTATAACCTTTGTGCAGATCTACAATGCTGTTGCCAAGAAACAATCAAAAGACCTATTCCCAGTCCTATGCCTCCTTGTCCAATTCAGGTTCAATAAAGCAGATGCAGTCGATCTGGTTACTTCTATGCTACATCCACAGTACAAGATTTATACAAATGACAAGAACGGAGGAGGTTTGAGAGTGCATTTCGAGGCAGGTCTGCATGTCAGGCTTTTTAGTACCTTCTTATGTCACAAGGTATGTAATTTGGTCCTTCTAACTTCTCCAACAGAGTATGCAGCTGCTACCTGGCCTTATTACCCGCAGTAATGCCACGTGGTCCATACCGGTGTAGGATTGAGAAATAGTGCCACTCTAGTTAGGATCCTCCTGCAGGACTGTTTCCTAGGACGAGCAAGAAATCTAAACTCACATTAAAAAGTTACCAGAAATGTTGGAACTGCTGTTTTGTGTCTATCTAAGATTATGTCCTGAAACTTGTGAATGGCGGCGTACTGACGAAAACCATGCCTTCTCCTGAAGCTCCTAGGAAAATGCTATGATGGATGCCTGAGCAAAGATTGCAGCTGGAGAGCTGGCTCATGAAGGCACTATTAACTACCAATTGCGTTGTTATAATCCATTGGAAGATTCAGATCTTACTAATGGTGCTCAGAATGAGCACCTGGTTCAACTGTCCAACTACCTAGGAAAAGAGCTGCTCTATATAGCCCATCTAGACCATGATCACATACCAAAGTAGGCGACTTCTGAGCAAACCATTCCGGAATGCAAGGAGATATTCAACTAGGCTTTGAGCGTCGAATTAGAATTCTATATTTGCCAGATTAGGAAGGTGGGTTGCGGGGGGTCACAGGAGCAAGGAGTTTGGAGTTGCTGAGTCATTTCGATAGGCAGATTCTTTGGTTGACGATGAGTTGCAGCTAGAATTTGGTCACTCCAGTGTAAGAACTTTTTGAAGGCGAGCACTTGTTATCTACGGAGTATAGTAGTACGAAGAATGGAATCTGGTACCTTGAATGGTGTTGCTCGGGCCTGATACGAAAATCTTACTAGGATGAGTAAGGCGTGATCCATGTCGGCGTGTTAGGGTTCTGCCCAAGCCATGACCTCAACTATCTGAAAAGGTCTTGAATCAGAAATTCATTGAATCAGTCTCTCTTTCTTTTCTTTCGAGGAGTTTCTCAGTATGAAAAGGAGCTCAGGCCTGTACCTATCACTAGATGTCGAATTCTAGTATCGTCCGCCTGTAACGTTGGCAGTATACAAATCCACAACCCCTAAGAGAGAGCATTTTCTTCGTACCAGTTCTCGATCAATATCCTCCTAACTAACTAGTTATACAGTATTTACTAATATGTGGAGGTAAGGCCCATCCAGCTGCATTTACTGCAACAATTGCAGTAACTCATTCATGATTCCTAGGCTGTATAGCTTTTGCATGACTCTCCTGTGTTTCTGATCCACAGATAACTTTGGCAGTTGAAATCACACCCATTTGGAAGCCAGTCTCGTCCATGTTGTAGATATCTTGCTCAAGGATCCCATACTTTTGAATAGTATCATGAAACTGCTTGAATCACCCCTTAATGAGCTCTGGATCTTTACATTTTGCTCATTGATAATCATACTTTCAGGTATATTTAGAGTAAAGCTCATTATGGTGCTTAATAAATTGGTTCACCCATTTCTCACCAATGGTGGCAGTAGCATCTGAGGACAATTGTGTAGAGAGCAATAGCTGTGCCAGATAGCATATGGTCGAAATTTGCAGAGGTAGGCCATGTCGGTCCATATCAAGAATCTATTTTGAAAGTATAGTTTCTTCAGTATCTGTCAATTTTCAACAATTTGCCATTGAATCTTTGCAAGAAGTAGTCCCATTAAGGTGCGTCTTAAGGGTCCTTCAAGGCATGTCAAATGCATCTGCAGCTGCCTTTTTTGATGAGAAAAGACCTTTCTTATAGGCCTCAATTGCTAATTGCATACGCCCTTCCTTTGATATATCAGCCATGGCATGGTGCATTAAAAACAAATTGCATCAAATTTGATTAGGGGGTGGTGGTGGATGACATGGCAGCTCGGTGTCCGATTACGTTACTAGATTAAGTAAACTTAAGGTTCTATAGGGACCTTATAGGATTATAGTAATATAAGAAGGCTATAATAACTCTAAGGGGCTAATTAGGGAAATTTTATTTAAAAAACAAAAAGACTGATAATAAATATTATAATATATAATTAGGAGGAGTTTTTTATTTATTTAGAAATATAAGAGAGAGTTAGGGGGTAATAGTTAGAGCTTCTTTAAGGATAGTATATTTACCTTTAATATAAGATTTATATAGACTTTTTATTTGCTTTTTAATAATTTTATTATTAATAAAAATTAATTAATTAAATAAAGGGACTATAGTTCTTCATTAATACTTAATTCTAAGGAGGATATTATAGATATAGAAGGTATTATAAATATTTTTATAAAACCCTTTAAATTATGATATTAGAAGACTATAATATTAATAATAAAAATATAATTACTACTAGTTTATTATTAATAAAAATTAAT